CAGGGGCTATTTTGGTACTGTATGGCTGTTGTTTATTGTATTATAATGTTGGAATTGGAAGGGAAAGGGGATGGGGTCGGTTGGTACTGCTGTCGTATTGTATGTGCATTGGGTTAGTGGTGTTGGGTCGGGTTATATGAGCTGGAATGGGTCAATTTTACTGTTGTGTGGGCCGGAATTAATTGGGATTAATTGGTTGGGTCGATTGGGGGGTTGATTTGGGCTGTGAATTGGATTGTTGTTGAGGTGTTGGGTTGATCATTGTTGAAGAATTAAGAGGAATAGGGCTGCCAATATGAGGAAAATAAATAGCCCAACCTCTTGGTCTTGCAATCAAGTACGAATTTCAAACGTAGCCGAATTGAATTAACATTTTAACCGAAATGAATTTAGTTGGTAATTCGGCTAAAACTAAATAAGACGAATCAATAAAATTAATTAGTGAGCTCCTTAATCTTAATGAAATAAAATAATTAACTTAACTATAAACTAAATAATTTAACAATTTAAACGACTGAATAACCAAATATTTAAAGAAAACTAAAATCCTTTTGAGACAATTTTCGAACATTCATAAAATATATTAATTAGATATATAATTATATAAATATCACATTTATTATTTTAAAATTTATTAAAATGACAAAACTACTTAAAATGACGTGAAAATTATTTTGAATTTTATAAAGCCAATTATTTCAAATCATTTAAAATTTAGGAAGCTCGATGATTAATTTATATTGTGGAAGTCCAAAATTGGGTGTCAACACGAATGTAAAAGAAAAGTTATGGCACTATAGATTAGGCCATATGCCTTTGAGTAATATGAAGAATGTTGTTCCAGCTTCTCTATCTTGTTCCAAATTTTCATCTCCTTGTATTATTTTTCCTATGGCAAGACAATCAAATTGCCTTTTCCTAAAAGTTGTCTCTCCACTAAATCAGTGTTCGAACTAATACATGTGGATACTTGGGGTCCTTACAACATTCCTACATATGATGGTTTTAAGCATTTTTTAACCATTGTTGATGATTTTAGTAGAGCAACATGGACTCATCTACTTAGTTCTAAATCCAATGTTTTTTCTATTCTTAAATCCTTTATTTCTATGGTTGAAAGACAATTTAACTCCCAAATCAAAATAATCAGAACAGACAATCCATTTGAATTAGGGGCTGGAAAACTGCATTATGATTTTTTTCTTTCCAAAGGGATAATTCACCAAACTACTTGTGTTTACACTCCACAACAAAATGGAATAGTGGAAAGGAAACACAAGCATTTGATTGAAACTTCAAGAGCCTTGTTATATCAATCTCATTTGCCCATCATTTATTGAGGAGAATGTTTATTAATTGCCACATATCTCATTAATAGGTTTCCTTCTTCTATATTAAATCACAAAACACCTTTTGAGATCCTCTTTAAAGATAAACCTCTTTATTCACATCTAAGATGTCTTGGTTGTTTATGCTTTGTTTCCACTACTTCTCCTCATAGAACAAAGTTTGATCCAAGAGCCTTGCCTTGTGTATTTTTAAGGTATCCTTATGGGAAAAAAGGGTACAAAGTCATGAACCTTAAAACAAAGAAATTTTTTGTTTCTAGAGATATTATTTTTTATGAAAAATATTTTCCTTTTTCATAGGATATGTCTCACATTTCTCATAGATTATTTCCAATTCCTCCCTCAGATATACATGTTTCTGATTTTCCTTTATTTACACTTGAACCTCACTCAACACTTTCCAGTGTTCCTGATATATTGCCTACTCCTCATTCTTCTCCCTCATCTGACTGTAATCCTATTTTTTCTCCTATCAGTCCATCTCCTGATCTTCCCCATCAAAATCATATTATTGATACTCTTGTTAGAAAGTCTTCTAGGAATACTAGGACTCCTTCTTATCTTATAGATTATATTTGTAATATTTTACAACTCACAGATGTCAGTTCTTCCTATTTTCTTAGTCTTATCACTCCTCCTTCCCTTTCATTCAATGTTTTATCCTCTTCTAATCAGGTTATGCTCAACTCTGTCTCTAATATCCATGAACCTGCTAGCTATGAACATGTCATACATGATCCTGCTTGGCATGAGGCTATGAATAAAGAACTTGTTGCCTTGGAACTGAACAATACTTGGGATGTTGTTTTTCTGCCTCATGGGAAAAATGCTTTGCCTTGCAAGTGGGTTTACAAAGTCAAACAACATTCACTTGGTAGCATTGAGAGATTTAAGGCCAGATTGGTGATTAGAAGTGATATACAAAAGGAAGGGTGGATTACAATGAAACTTTTCACTAGTGGTGAAAATGACCACTATTCGATGTTTTTTGGCTATTGCAGTAAAAAGATAATGGGGTTTATTTCAATTAGATGTGAACAATGCATTTCTACATGATGACCTAAATGTGGAAGTATACATGAAATTTCCTAGTGGTCTTTCTCCTCCTTCTCCTAATCATGTTTGTTTAATAAAAAAGTCTATTTGTGGCCTTAAATAGACATCTCGACAATGGTATTCAAAACTCACTGCAACACTCAATTTCAAGGGTTTTAGTCATTCTCTCAATGACTATTCTTTGTTTTTTAAGAAGTCTACTGATTCGATTTCTATAGTTGCAGTTTATGTCGATGACATTTTATTAACAGGAGATAATCCAGTCGAATTACATGAACTCAAGTTATTCTTGGATGCAGAATTTAAGATTAAGGACCTTGGAAATTTACACTTCTTCCTTGGTTTGGAAGTCATTCGAGAACCACATGGCCTGATTCTCAAAGGAAGTTCATTTTTGAATTATTGACAGAGTTCAATTGCTTGGACCTTACTCTTGTTTCTACACCTCTGGATTCTTCTGTGAAATTAAAGGCTAATGAAGGTACTCCCTTGAAGAATCCCACTCTATATCGACACTTACTGGGAAAACTAAATTACATGACTCACATGAGGGCCGGATCTCTCTTCCACTGTTCATCACCTTAGTCAGTATATGCAGGACCCTCGTATTCCTCATTTTAATGCGGCTTTACGAGTACTTCGCTATTTGCTCAAAGATCCAGGTCTTGGGATCTTTATGTCTAGTTCACCATCATTCCAGCTCCTTGCATTTTGCGATTCCGATTGGGGAACCTCCCCAGATTCACGGAAGTCCGTCAGTGGTTTCTAATATTTCTCTTGGATCTTCTCCTATTACATGGAAATCAAAAAAGCAAGCATCAGTATCACTTAGTTCAGTTGAAGCTGAATATAGGTCGATGAGGCGAGTCGTTGCCGAACTTACTTGGTTGGTACGTTTGTTCGAAGATCTAAATGTTCCGATCAGTTTGTCGGTTCCTCTTCATTCGGATAGTTCTGCTGCCATACACATTGCTAAAAATCCGTTCTTTCATGAATGAACAAAACACGTTGAAATCAACTGTTATTTCGTTCGTCAATAGTACCTCGCCGGACTTATTCACTCTCTCATGTTCGATCTTCTTCTCAGCTTGCAAATCTGTTTACCAAATCTCTCACCGGACCTACCTATCACTCTCTTCTTCACAAGTTGGGTGTCTCCTCCCCTCCAACTTGAAGGGGGTGTTGAAATTCTTCTCAGACGACGACTCTACACTCTTCTAATGGCTACTAGTTAAACATGGAAGTAGCTACAAATGAAAGAATCTACAAATGATATTCTGGACTTAGGTTATGCAACCATTGGGCCTCAGATGTTTGATTGGATTTGTTTTAAACGACTGGGCTTTAGCATATACACTCCTTTCTAGAACTTAATTAAGGCATTTTTTATTATATATTTTATGTATTTATCTCTTAGTTTGTTATAGATAGACCAATTAGAAATAGCCAGTTGTGCAGTTAGTTAGCAAGATACTTGTATAAATATAGATAAATTGTACAGAGCATATCATCAACTCAAAGAAAATTTTCCAATATAGTCTTCTATTTTGACACATTTCAGGTAATTTTTATAAAATGAGCTAAGAAAATAATAAGTAAAGTTTATAGGTTGACTTTTTGCATAATTTTTCCTTAAAAAAGAAGTTAATTTTCCTGAACTATTTAAACGAAATAGTTTTCCCCTTTGTTACATTTTTTACAAAAGATGTCCTTACAAATAATCAAGTAGTTGAGAAAATGTCCTAGTCGGCGTGGCTAACCAAATATGCTCCTACAAACGGTTGCTCAGTTTGAATGAGAAAAGGTCAATGAAAATATGAAATAGGACAATTTTATCATTAGTTCTCAATAGTCCATTCAAAAATTTAGAACCAATAAAATTGCCCCCCTACTCTTTTTTCAATAGATTATAAATTATCCATAACAATTTGCTTATTTTATTTGTTTGTAATAGCATAATGAGTGATGAGTCGGTATAATATTCTTGTTTAGTTCAACTTTTTTGGAATTTTTTTCCCTATTGTCAACTCAGAAAAGATATATATATATGATTTATCTATACCATAAATTAAATCGAATACCTAATATGAACACAAATTCGTGCTTAAATGAACTTAAACCATTTCAATACTTTCACTTTATTAACCTATTATAAGTAACGTTCTCTTTCAAAAGTCTCCATGTCAAGAAAAAAAAGTGTTTCTCTTTCTGTTCACACATGACAATGACCAAAAAGAAACTGTTTTCATATCTTTTTTTCCAGAAAAAACGTATGAAATATTATTGGTGCGAGTCAATTTTAGCAAAACCAAACTTCAATATAGGGTGAATGTGAGGACACTGATTTGTTAGCAAATAGTGTTAGCTCGTAGCCGCTTCATACTCACTATAAGCTATAGACAAGCACAATTTTATAAAATCGTTGACGATTCAGAAACAAGCAACTAAAAATGAAAAAAAGATATACATATAAAAGGTCATTTTCTTTGGCGAAATTCCATCTACATGAACTATTCAGTCTTCACTATAGGAAGTACATTATCCTAAAATTCACACATGTATCCCGTATCTCCCCCCACCCCCCCACCCCCCACCCCCTTTTGCTTCTCAAAGAATAAGCAATGAACATATCTTAATATGGTAAAATTAGTGTCTGACCCTGACAAGCCTAGGGGTTGGGGCTAAATGCCCCGACTTCCTAAAGAATGGATGCACATATATCAGATGTATTATGATTTATGGGTTATTTACATAGGAAAAGAATCCTCACAATTCTAGCAGCTCCGCGATCTACATATGTTTTCTGATTAAGGAATGAACTTCAGAAGAGCCCCTAACAGAGATGCGTTACCAAAAACCCACTGTCATGAAACAATGCTAACAATTGTGAAGCAAGGGAATCAACAAGCATGCCACTCTGAATATCTCTTGAACCTTTCAGTCAAGTTAAATCACACTCCTGAACAAATGGCTCCTGCAAAACACATCACAGGTTACATCAAGGAGTCCAGTGACTTGGTCCATGAAAAACAATTCATTCCACTTCCCGTGGTCCAGCAAACTCATAGATCAACAGTCAGTTAACTAATGGGATATTTCGTAGGAGATCATGAATTAATCCGTCCAAGAAGGTTGTGCTGGTATAAATAGAGATATAAAGAGACCTGATGACCAAGATGAACAGCAAAACTTCCTGTCATCTACATGTTTGACATCGGCACCAATAAACCAGGACCCAACACTGACATCATCATGTGCATAAGTACGGAGTAGGGATCTGCAATTCAAGTCGGGGCTTACTTTTCTTAATGTCAATCCACATTCCATAGTTCTTAATGCAATGGAATGAGAACTCACCTATTTATAGAAATGTATCGAGCCAATGCTTGGGATATTACAAACAGCTCTGTAGAAGCATGACGAAAGTACCTAAAAGAAAAGAAGCAATGTATGAACTTTGCCATTTTTTATAATAAATAAATAACGCATATTCCAACAAAACCGAATGTACTAGCAAAACATGAAACAGACAAAATACGTTGGTATAGAGAAGGGCAAAAAATTAGATTTGCATTATAGCAATTATGGTACTTGAAAGTTGGCTTCAGCTTCCAGGAAAGACCACGATTAAGCTCCTGAAGCTACGATTTTTGTGAATGGTTATCGGCCCATCAATGACTTTTTGCATTTTTTTTTCAAGTATGATTTTTATGCATCTTTATACATATAACCCCCCTTTCTATATATTTATTTTTGGGGTTTGGGAGGAAAGATGGCTTCCAAAGCTCTTATGAGAATCTCCAAATTTAGAGAAGACACAACTACTCATAAACTTTGTTAAACACAGGTGACTGGCAACTATGCTAATTGTGAAATGACGAAATGTGATTCTTGTTGATTTGAAAATTTTGGCCTCCCAAAAAGATCAGGTAACTGGAAAGGTCATATCTGCAGTCTAGCTCCATGTGAAACATGCAGCAGAGCAAGAGAAGTTCTAACAAAAAAGACATCAATCCTCTTTCAGTTATACTGAGCCTTCGTCGTATAAGGTAACAGAAAATAAATTAAAACTCGTGTAACACAGAGACAGGTAAATGCACTTCCTTAAGGACACCAGAGACTTACGTTTTTCCATCTCCAAATTTCCACCAATCTGGTTCATACCATTTGTGGCCCCTGTCAAATCAAACAAAGACTTGATCATATTCATAAAAGATGACCTCCTCAAGCATTTTCATGAAACTATTTCAGTTCCGATGAATATTATCAAGTCCTATTATCAATAAGTCAAGTTGTTCGGTGACACTCACTGTTCAGAGAAAACTTCGCCTGATTTCATGCACCCAATATATACACGAGGGTCACTCAAATACGACGCAAGTGTATTTCCCAAGGAATCTGCACAATCGTCACAGGTTATTGAATCTATATATTAACTTGTTGGCAGATGCCAAAAACAAGTAATTGCATTGGAATTGGAAAAAATCTTTAGTGGGTCACGGTAGTTAGCTAATAGTGCTTGTTTATCCTTGTACATACCAAGGTTTACAAAGACATTGTCATTGACTTTTGCATAATAATCGGCAGTCCAGCTGTCTGCTGCATGTGCAAAAAATAGCTTTGTTTTCTTGGAGAGTTCTTCCGGAGCCTCAACATGATTTTCCTGTCCAAACAAATGACATTATCAGCTAAATTTTACTGTGCTGGCTGAACTTTCTCAAGCTGGAAATACGAATTGGGGATTAAAAGCAAAATCTTTTGGTTCGGACTTGTGGAAAAAGCATGTGCAAATTAAGGGAAATAAAAGTTGCTTCATGCTAATGGGGCAAGGATGTTTTCTATTGTGGTTCACCTTCATATTTTTTGTGGTCCATATCATACCAGTTATAGCAGTCCTAGGGAATTCATGTTATCTATGTTGAACATTGATCTGTTCATATCTGAATTGAACAACTAAATCAAGGAGAATGAGTTCATCTCGAGAAAATCTTTGATGCTGCCCAGTATGTGATGAAAATATTTCATTCCAGTGGATGTATTAATTTAACAACTCATAAGACACAAGAATAAAAAATAATACAGTTTTAGTTTAACAACTCACTAGAATAAAAAAATCATTAGTTTGATTGTTTTCACTGTCAATGCTCCTGTCCAAGCTGTCTCCACGATTAGCACTGCAAATTGAGGTGCAAGCGAATGAAACCAATATGCAAATACTCACAACAATAGAAGTAACCATAAGAAAATACCTTCTGCCAATAACAAAACGTGCAACAATGCCCTTCTTTTCCTCCATTTTTTTCAAAGCTGCACTTGGATGTAGGCAAATATGTGAGAAGATGCTCATGGTTCTAAACCTCATGGGCAATGACTTGAAAATCTTCCATAAAATTTCTAATAATTACTCTTAAGTCAAACTAAAAGTGTTGAAATCATAAGATGAGTTCCCCACACAGAAACAAATTTCTTCCTCCATCATGAATCCAGTAACCCACCTCTCGTTCTATGTCATCTAAAAAAAGTTTCCATGTAACTTAAAAAAACAAGTTCTAGCTTGTTATATGATGAAACCATAAATAAGAAATTTAAAAAAAGAAAAAAGGGAAACTACACTGGTGTAGTTATCCACTTCTCAATTCGGCGTTTGATTATATTCTTGAAAATTTGGAAAGCCAATAGGAAATTCCACATCTCCCACCCACTTCTCCTCTCATGTAAAGATTAAACAAATGTCCATTTTCATTTATCCTATTTATAGCATTCCTAAGATAAGTTGTGGTATTCCATTCCTAGTGGAGGGGTAATAAGAACAATAATATGAGAATCCAGACAGACATTATGATCATGTGAAGAATGAAAAATAAATTATTAAAATGTCATAATAACTGATACTCTACCAGTTGACATCCATGCCTTCCTTATAGCATCTCTATCATTTTTGCGCCCAAAACTTGTGAAAATTCCTATTACTATTACTGGACCCTTTTCAGGAGTTTTCGACATATCTGATGATTGTTTGGAGATGAATCCTTCCTGTCTAGCAGCTGTCAGTTCCATTTCTAGGGCAGATAGTTTCTTCCTTTGCTCCCTAATAACCAAACATTCTTAATTAAACTAGTAATTTTTTATTATAAACACAAATTGAAAGGGGAAGATTTTTGAACCTGCACTCTATGATTTTTAATGTGTCTGCAACAGATATTGCAGAGTGTCCCTGGAAATTAATCAGAAATATTAATTTCCTCACAAAAATAATTAAAATTGAGCATTTGCTCAAGAATGGACGTCAATCTATGTAGGAGAACATTTACTGATTTCACCGCAATCCAAAGAAGAGGACTGCATATCTATTGCTAGATATTACTGCATAGAATGTCAAACCTAACACAGACGAAAAAAGGACTTTTCTTTGAATTTTACATTTGAAGTTTGAACGCTGATCACGTAGGCAGTAGGACAATAATGATACTTCTTTTCACAAGCCTCCCAGCGAATGCAGGTTAACTTTTCTTATGCAACCAAATTGAGATTACAACTCAAAGTTTACATCAAAATTGACGGTCTGCTCGAGAATGCAGGTTAACTGTTAGTAGTAGTACTGTCTTCATTGTCCAGAGAGGAAATCTGCATAGAGGTTGTTGTATATATTACTGCAGAAAATCCCAAACCTAATTAAAGCAGTGAAACTCTTTCTCTAAATTTTACATGTCGAACACAAATCACATTGGACAACAGTGATTTTTCAACACAAGCTTCCGACTAACCTACCATATGATACGTATCCGCTATAAATTCTTCTGATTTTCACAAACTCAACCGTGGATATGGTAGTTGATGCAACCACAAACATATATACTCAGCTTGAACCATATGAATAATTTAGATTCATTAACCTCACATAGGGAGTATTAGAATCTAAATTAATAATTTTACATATTAAATGACTACACATACAAAATTTAGCCCAAAGTTATTGGGTTCTACCGAACCCATACCTTATCTCCGGCTCCGCCCCCCTCATACTAAGTTTGCACTCACTGCTACAAACTAATAGCCATGGTTAAAGGTAATCCATACCGACTGAATTAAGATTCTGGATCGGCCAAGTGGATCCAAAATTAAAAACCGCTACATTGACAAACCATAACCGAAAAGGGATAAAATAATACAACTCAGATCAGTCCAAGCAAAAACCAAATCACTCAAAAGGAGAGACAAGATCATACATACCTGACCGGTTATTCTATCCAGCTCTTTCGTGAAGTAAACTCTGTTTTGTGCATCTTGCCACAACCTGTAGCATTAAAAAACGAAGTTAAACCAGATCACTTAGGAAAAACATTTTTAACAGTGTAACTCGCCGGAGTTAGAAAACGAAACTCACCGGCCGGCGACATAGAAGGAAGCCATGGCAGCAAACATAGCAAGCATGAGTGATGAAATTGGGGATCGCATCCCCATAGTTGAGAACCGGGCATTGGATCCCCGGCTCTGCATTTTTTTCTTCTTCTCAAATCTCAATCCAGGAATTCTGACTCAGTGCGATTCCAGTTGGCGTCACGGTGAAGGGAAGTTTTCAGTTCGGGTTTATGAATTTCAGAGCCAAATGGGACGTTATGTGGGAATTTAAGTGTAGGCGGGTCCCGTTCGGATCTATATTTCGTTTCTGGGTTGAAAGCTCCATTATTACGATTGCTGCAATGAAAAGAATTCCCTCTCATCTGAAATTATAAAGTCGTCTCGACAGTATAATTAATGTAAAATGTGTTTTGTTTCAACATCAACAACTATCAAGTTCTAAATAAGTTGGATTTGTTATAAATACAATATACTGTGGATATTCATTTTAAGTTTATTGAATAAGTTCGTATAAGCAAGATAACTTGGAAATAGATTACACAAGCACATAGTTTTTGCAACAACTTTAGTTTTTCTATAAATAGATGCTGAATTTGATTTATTGAGTAAATTTCCTAAATAATTATCCATGTTGAGAAATTATCTAAAAATATCAATACTTGACACAATAAAAACATCTTTCTCTTTCCTAGTTGCATAACATGTCACAGTACTTTAACAATAAATTTCTTTAACCCCTTTAAATCATCCATATTTTATACTCAATAAAAGAACACTACTTTTCCATATATTTTATGTTAATACTCCTAACTATTTAAAAAGGGTATACAAATAAAATTCTCAAGGAGTGCAACTAAAATCCTATTTGAATTGATTTATTTCAAGTGTTTTCAAGCTAAAATAGTTTTTAAGCATATTTGAAATATTTAACTTTAAAAAAGTGGTTTTAAGTAATAATTTTTAAGCAAAAGATAAAAATAAATCAAATGTCATAAATTAAATTCCTAACTTATAAATTTAGAGTTATAAACCTATTCAAACACGCTCTAAAATTGATGGATTATTGAGCTTACCACATATGGAACATTCCTTCCCCGGATTTAGGTTTATGTCCCTTTTTTAGGTGATCATTTAGATTTATTCATATTTTTAAAAAAAATTGTACATATAGCCTTTAGAAATTATCTTTCAATAATATCATATTCAGTATAACATTTGTTTACATACTTTTCAACCTTAAGTATAAAGTATTAACTTGTTGTCCAACATTTGTAATAATGTATATAATTTAAGATTGTGATCTAATAATTTGCTCAAAACGAATTTTTAGGCCGTAAAATGTTCCAAGAAATGAATAATTTTCTTCTTTCCTTTTTGGGATTCAGTCAAGCGGGCTGAAAATGAAAATCTTTCAGATTGAGGGTAAGCCCACTTAGCAAAATTCACTGCCTTTTACTTGAATCTTGTATCCAATTACTTCCCCAAATATCTTTAATTTTTTCCTTAAATCTCTCTATAAATATAATTATGTGACTAGCATTTAGGTTTAAATTGATATGCTTTCTAGAGGTATTCATAGTTTCATTTCTTAGGTTCTTCATTGATATTTTCGAATAGGAAAAATCCTTTTGGCCATAAAAATTTGGCCAGAATGGTAAAAAGACATGTTCACACTATAAACTAGTTTATTTTTGGGCATTTGTGCCTTTTAACTTAAATATTGAATATATTCTTCAATTATGTTTCTAAGACAATGAAAATGATTAATGAGATTAATTATTGATGATTTCATAATTAAACATGAGAAAGAAATCACAAAATTCACCAAAGAAAACATAAGTCTCACCCACTCTTCTAACTTGAAATTTTCAAGATCTAAAAAATAAATAAAAAGTATGACAGTAGTAGTAAGAAAATAAATATATATATATATCTTTTTCAATTTCTAAATTTCCTCCTTTCTACTTATTGTTTTTTGTTTATTTATTTTTCATTTCTTATTTCTTAATAATAATAATTAAAAAAAAAAGAGTACAAAAGAGGAGTAAAGTGTAGGCTATCTATTTTACTTTATAATTTCTAAACGTGAAAAGATAAATTATATCTAAATTTAAATATTAAAAATTTATATCTATAATACTCAAATTAGAAATATGAAATTCACCAAGTTGACAAAATAATTACTCTTATTTATTTAAAGGAGTTGTTGTTATGCATGAGTTTTCTAGAAAAAAGTTAAATGATAAAAATATATTTTATCCAATTATATTTAGACTGTATGTGAGCGAAATATGAAGAAAACTGAAATTACCATCATGTTTCCTCCATTATGTAACTATTTTCATATCCTCGAACGTATATGAATCACATCACACACAAATAAAGACTCATTAAAATTAATGAATCACATTATAACACAAATGTTGATGGTGCTTCATTAAAAATTATAATAACTAGGAAAGGATATAGAAAGTTTTATGATTTCAAAATAAATTTTTATAAAAAAATTGAAAGACAAACATCTTCATAGTTCTCTGATGATAATGACAACACAAATTTGTTAAACATGAACTAGATCAAAGTTTCTTCACACATATTTTTCTTTATTACTAGTATTATTTGTTAATTATTATACTTTAAAAAATTAACTACATATTTAAATATTATGTTTTAAGAAATTAAATTACGTATTTAAAACTACATACTTAAAAATTAAACTAAATATTTTTAAAAATAAACTACATATTTAATTATAATGTTTTAAAAAATTAAATTATGTAGTTCTATAATGTGTTGATTTTTATCAATTCTAAAGTATTTTGAGTTTTGATTATCGTTATTAAAATATTTTTCAAATTATATTTAAAAACATATTTTTATGTATATTATTAACATGAATTTTAATTGTCTCCTTCGATAGAAAATTCTATATTAAATGAAAATATTTTTTAAAAATGTATATCCTAATGGGAAAATCTTTTTGGGCATAAAAAAATTGGCCAGAATTGTAAAAGGACATGTTCACGAAGGTTCCCAGCTTTACTTAGCGCTTTTAGAATAATCCTCATAACTAGGATAATCATTGTCTATCCCCAGTCAATCTCATGATACGCGAACCAATTCACTCTTGTCAATTCAACACCACAACCCACACATCCCCAGGATACACCCAGACACTCACACGATCCTTAGTCAAGATCTTTTTTCCACAACGAATTTCACGATACTCAAGTATTTACAACTTGCATAACTTCAATGACCAGGCCAACATATTGTACATATCAAAGTTCAGACACACATCTATTGTGCACATAATCACCTCATCATATTCAAGCAATTACAACTTCACATTTGTAGTTAATTCAAACAACCAGAAGCACGCAGTTAAAGTTTCCAATATACAATTTACAGATAAGTCCAATTCTTAATTAATTATTTTGCTCCATGGATGAGCATTCCTGATCATCCATGCATTCACACCCCCTAGGGCTAGATACTAATTGGAACCTTCTCAGTTTCCAATTTGATTTGCTTGTGGCCTCTCAGTCGCGACTACGACGTCTAGTTTACTTCGTTGAGATACCAATTGGAATCAGGAGATACCAATTGGACTCAACTCATACCACAAGCGACAATAGCAACTAGCGAGCCCCACAAAACTGTCAATTTCAATCATAAAACTTGATCGAACCAATTTTTAAACAATTTTTAACTGATGGTAACCAGACCTTAAATCAATCTTAGAGGAAACTGATGCACCTTGCAAATGATAAAAAAAATCATCTATCCGAGGCAGTGGATACTTGTTCCAAATGGCGACTCTATTCGACTGTCACTAGTCTATACACATCCTCTCTTGCTAGTGATGGTGTTACCACTTTTGTTGCTCTAGCTCGGACCATAGAGTGAAGGAGGAAAGATACTAATTTGTATCACCCAAATATCAATTAGATTCAAGTCATAGCACGAAGGAGTAGAAAAAAGTGAGTTTTTCCTAAAGTCCTACAACCTTTCGAAGAAAAGTACGGACGTCATCGTACCGTTTCGCAAAACTCTACTAGACTTGTTTTGGCACAATGAGATCAACGAACCTAGGGTTCTGATACCAACTTTATCATGACCCAGACTGTTGTGATTGGTACCCATATTAACCATCCGGTGGGAGAACCAGTACTACAACCCAAACCAAACAATCAATCTAAAACTAAGGCATATAAGTCAAATATTAAGGGAAGAAAATAGAGTTTCTATAAACTCTAACAAAAGTTCAACAAAAACTAACAAATGCGGAAGAATTAACATAGAACTTGAAAGTCGATGTACCAAAACTCTACTAACGACAAGTCTAAGAACAAGGGGTATAACCCCGAAACTAACAACACCTTAAACAAAAAGTCTGAGTCCGAAAAGAGTGGACTTAAACAAGGAAGATCCATGGCAGCCTGAAAGAACTGGTTCACCCTTAAATCCGGTCACGCTCATAGTCACTTAGTTGGGGTCTATTAATAGCCACTTGAAGATGACATGTACTCAACAAAGAAAAAGCAAGTGCAAATCAGTACACAACCACCGTGTACTGGTAGGATCACACGATTATCCCACTAAGTGTAACATATATTAGTCAATACAACAATATAATCACATGCACATATCGAACATATAAAATATCATCAACATATACGAACAATGAACTACTTCACAATTCTCACATATCACAGTTATATCAATTTAGAGCAACATACTGTCTTTCAATATCAATCATCATTAGATATGAACGAACTCATCACAAGTAGATACATAACACAATTCAATGGTCATCTCATGGAACCCAAACCCAAATAGTTAGCATGCCGGAACATGGCAATCCGATCCAAGTTAGTTATGCCAGAACGTGGCAGTCGATCCCATGTTTATGCCAGAACGTGGCAGCCGAACCCATGTTTATGCCGAAACGTGGCAATCTGATCCAAGTTAGTTATGCTGGAACGTGGTAGCCGATCCCATGTTTATGCCGGAACGTGGCAATCCGATCCAAGTTAGTGTGTCAGATCGTGACACCCGCCTATTCAACAAACTACAATCGCAATCACAATGTATATTCTCACAATCATATAGCAAGAGGTGATTCATGCTATACAATTATTCTATTATCCTCATTTACAACAAGTGTGATCAATAATGCAACATTCACATACATACATGTATCATAATGAATCAAGAACAAACATATATCACACAATCATAGAATCACAACCATCACCTACCTCGAATCCAAGCTTGAATCCCCTAAGGCACTTGAATCTTCCCTTTT